TGTTGGTGCTGGTGTTGGCGATAATTATCCATGCGAAATAATAAACATTGATACAAGGTCAAATCATTCCAACAATTTGTTGGCTTCGAGCTCAAGCAGTGGTTCCAGACCTTTAAAAAAATGAATTATAACATATAGCTTCGTATGGAAGTATTTCAAGAAAATTAAAGATTCAAATGGAGATGAATTTGTAATCTGCAAATTAAAAAAAAATGTTAATAATAATGAAACAGAATGAATATTCTAATTAAATAGGATGTTATTCCTGTGACTAGTGTGTGACCATTTTGTGAAGCAAATGGTTACACACTAGTATTAAAAAAATTTAGTCAACTAAAAGAAATTTGACCAACTAGTAGTCAACTAAGGATTTTTTGGACGATTCCAACCTCTATCTTCACTTTATTCCCTATTGCATTTAACATATTTATCTCAAATGATTCTCTGAATATTTTTCAGTGCAGCAATTGCAATTTATCTCAATGTTTTTACCACTAAAGTTCAAAGAGAAAAAAAAAAAACTTAAAATTTAAACTCCTGGTATTTAAATTTATGTAAAAACTTACTTTGAACAAATTAATAGGTTTTTGTATATTTTAGTAGATTATGAAAAAGCAAGTTCAATACTGTTTATTTCGATTATTATTATTATAATTTTTTTTAAAAAAAAAGATTTTCAAAAGGCAGCAAGTATCATGTTAACTTGTTTGCCATACATATGAATTGATTGACAAAGGAGTTCCAATTTTGGCAATAATCCTGACTGTATTATAAGAATTAATGCTGGTGAGAAAATCAGATCATGTTTACTCAGCACAAGACTTTGAAAAATTTAATGTAAATATCAAAAATATGTGTAACATATTTTTGAAGGGCAGAAGTTTGTATGATTGGCTAATTTTTTGTAGATCATTTATTAATCTTTGTAAATAAAATGAATAATTTGAATAAAACAATAAATAATTCAAACAATTTGATAAAATGAATAAATAAAATGAATAATTTGAATAAATATTATATTGTACTATCCCTTAAACGGTCAAAGTATTCTTTAGTAGTAACACAAAATAATTTTTTGATCACGATCTTGCATTCTTATTGGCCAATTTAATGATCTGGAAAGTAAAAATAGTCAATTGACCAACTTTTAAGGAAGATTTTTTGAAAACCACAAGGACAACAACTGAATTTTTATTCACAGATCAATCAGCTGAATCTCAAAGATCATTTTCGTATTAGGAAATAATACCTTCAGAAAAAGTTTTTTATAACAGAAAAAAAATTTCAGCTATCAATAGCTGAAAAACCATTTAAGGGATAAGAAATGATTTAGAGCATAAAAGATTTCTAGAAGCCTGAATATCATTAAATATGCTATTTTTTTACAATAAGTTGCTAAATCAGAGGAAATAAATGATATTTTTCTATATGAAGAAATTTATTGACCAGTTGGAAACTTGGATTCAATGAGGCTATACATGTAGCCCAAATTGGTTTGGTGATTTCAATGGTCAAAACAATTTTGATGGTAGAAAGTAGAGAAAGTAGAAATTAATTATAGCACTCACTATTAAAAACATAAGTGTAACACCCCTTTACTACATGTGTAACCCCTTTATGACAGTGTCAAAATACTTTGGGCTGCATGTATATATAAATGAGGCATATGAGGCCAATGTTCGAAATTCAATCAGCATAATCAGCATGTGCTAACCAAATCTGGAAATGTGATGCAGATAGTTTCTAAATTTAGACTAGTTTTATGTTAAGACACAGTCGAATTTTGAACACTGTATGGGAGGACCTTTTCCAGCAAAAACAGTCTTCAAGGACATCTGACCAAATTTATTTTTTTATAACATAAAGATTATAATTAGCAAAAATATCAGGCCTGTTTGCATAATAATAAAAATGGGGAATTGTAAGCCAGATACATTCATATAAAAAATATTGGGAATTGCAGAATATTTTGGCTAACATCTATGTATGAAATTGTATTTCTTGAGATATCAAATTGACACATAATAAAAGCTAATATACTGCTCACATGATAGTAAAATGGAACATCAATTTAGAGAATTATTTTAAACAATAATTTTTTATGAAGTTAGAAGGAAATTTCCACTGAGAAATATATCACTTCAATCAAGCAATGATGCTACAATGGAAGTTGTTTCCCGAACTATCTTAGGAGATGGCACATTTCAATTTTGGGTAGAAATGGCTTCAAAATCGAATATCATTTCTTAATTAGGATAAATTTTGTGATGATCTTGTAAATTATTTTCAAAAACGGTAATAAGGTGGGTATTTTTCAAATGTACCATCCCATAAGATTAGGGTTCTTAGTCCAGCTCTAAAACTTTTATTATGGTTGAAAATCACATGCTCTATGAAAAATGGAGAATTTTTTCTTTTTGAAGTGGATAGCATAGTGGAAATTTGAAATGTTACATATATATATAGTGCAATGTAACTTTACAATACATGGCAAACATTCTGGCAATAAAAAATAAGTGATAAAATGGATCTGAACTTGATTTCCGATTTAGAGAAGTAACTACTATGGTGCGCGAAGCCTATAACCACCATTTTTGCACGTGATTTTTGAAAGAATAGAAGTCTGTTTCTGTTGATCCTTTTTTAAAAATAACTCTGTTATTGCATAGATTGAGACTCAAACTTTATTGTAACAGAGAGATTTTTTCAAAATATTGATTGGTTATCGTGTTCTATTCCTTTTTAGTACATGTATTTTACTATGTT